CAGGCTCTGTTTCATCAAGGTATGCAAGTGTCCTTAATAATTCCTCAAATGAAAAAGGTTTATGATGTCTTTTATTTGTATTGTGAACACAGAATAGTATTAATCTCATGCTAGTGATTGATCATCAAATGCAGCATTAGAGCTCTGAAGCAAGAAAGGGAATATCTAGCTAAGAAGGTGAGCATTAAACTTACAGCAGAGGAGAGGGAACTACTTTATGCAAAATGGGAAGTTCCTCCGGTTGGAAAACAAAGGAGGCTGCAACTTGTGAATAAATTGTGGACTGACCCTTATAACTTGCAACATGTGCAAGAAAGCGCTGAAATTGTAGCAAAGCTCATTGATTTCAGTGTATCCGATGAAAACAGCAAGGACATGTTTGAATTAAACTTTGCAAGCCCTTATAATAAGAAAACATGGGCGGGCTGGAACTTTATATCGAATCTTCTAAATTTGTAAACACAAATAGTTGTAGTGTTGAGAGAACTATCAAATATATATATTTCGATTATTGGTATACAAGTGGCATGCTTGCGAAGAATGAAAGACAGGAAGTTATTCAAGTTTTCTATCAACTAATGGTAGGCGTTTTTTTTTTAAGATAATAATTTGGTTTACTTTCAGTAACCATTGTAACTCAAAATTGAAGAATTGCAAGGACTCGAACATGTTTTTTTTTGCAAATGCTTAGGACATCAAATTCAATTTTTAAATTAACAAACAATGCATGGTGTATTTCAACTTCAATAATTATTTAATGTTATAAATTCCGATAATATTTTATAATTTTTAATTTCAAAAGTAGAAGTTTAAAAAAACAATATTTTATTCTCTTTAATTAATAAATTTCAAACTATTCTTAAAAACAGTTCAAACTTAAAATAAAGAAAACATTTATTTTAACAGTTTTTCCTTTATTTCCTAACCACCGTTATAAAAGTAAATACAGTCTTTATAAAATTAAAGCATTTGATAGACAATTTTAACTCATAACTCATCAAATATTTTATTTATAAAATTGTTTTATTTAAGTTTTTTTTTAGAGTTGTTAATTTTAAAAAGCAACATAAGTAGGGGTGGGTAGATGGGCTCGGGTCCATGA